GGGAAGGGGCTGCGGGGCCGCCCCCCGCCCTGGCAAGCTCCCGGTGCCTCGGGGCTGTGGGAATGCTCGGGGGGTTCCCAGAAGAAGAGCTCTTAGAGAAGGGGGAGGGGGAGAAGGGGATGAGCTTCCCTTCCTCTTCCATTTGCCGTTTGCCGTTAAAATTAACTGTTTTGCCTATTTACGGGAACTAAGAAATTACTCGGGTTTTGCTGGGTCCCGTAGAAATCAGCAGAAATCGCGGTAAATAAGGACGTAAATGACCTGACAAAGAGCGCCGGGGATGTTCTCTTTGGTGTGAGAATTGTACACACGAGTAGGCAGCGCAGTCACAGCTCACCGCCGCCACAGCCCGCGTACACCCGTGTGCTGTGAGCCTTCTCGGCGCTTTGGAGCGATGACCACCACAGTATTTGTGGCTGCAGTACCAATCTTTGACCCGGAGTGTTTTATCTTCCATTAGCAAGCCTTTCTCTGCGCTGAACTGGTTAAGTTAGGGTCAAATCTGGTTCAATACCTTCTTGGCATGCTCAGAGGGCTGGGTTTAAACAGTGGCTGAGACGGAGATGAGGCTGCCTTCCTGCGAGCCTTCCCTGTGCGCCGCTGCCGGGGGTCAGGGTGCGAGGAGCTCTGCCCTGGCCAGGTTTGGCAAGTCTGGGGGCTGCCTGTGCCGGGCAGGTCGTGCACGGCACCGGCGTGGCAGTGGAGCAGCTCTGGGGGCTGGCAGTCACGCGTTGCCTTTTGTTGATTCTAAAAACACGGCTGGTTCTGGTGGGAAGCTGAGCGTGGCTGTGTGCTGGGGAGGTTGCACGGCACACAGCCTCGGTTCCTGCTCCGCGGAAGGAAATCCCATCGGGATAGTAGGCTGTGGCGTGAAAGGACATGCTTTAAAATAAAAGGACTTAAAGAGAGAAAATAAACCGTCCTGAGACTCGGAGCTTGGAATATTAAACGTGAGGCACAGCATGTAAATGACTGGAGAGAGATTGCAAGGCAGTCCCCAAGAAACTGAGCCTGGCTGTAAAATAAGCAGGTTACCGATAGTCTTGCATATATTTACGAGGTTATAAGAGTAGCTTCCCCCCCTGCCCTGCTCCAGCCCGTGCTGTGGGAGGTTGTTCTCCAGGAGGAAGAGCTTTGGTGAAGAAACATTGTCTGGCAATTACAGCCTTGCAGTCCGGAGGGCTTGATTAGGTTCCTGGGTCTGCCAGCGACTCGCTGTGTTCTTGGACCAGCCAGGGTGGCTGTCAGTACCGGGGATTTCCAGCTTTATAATACGAGGAGTAGTTTCCTAACTCTCAGTGAAGTTGGGAAGCTCAGCGGACGCTTGCAGGCACAGTGCTTGAAGATCGTGAATGGAAAGTGGGACAGAAATGTGGAGTGTGAGTTCTGCACATGTGAGTGTCTGCCTCTGCTGGGTAGAAAATATTGGCTGTGAATGTCTGTAGAGCAGCTGTGAATGTTGGACTGTAGATAAGGAGAGAAGCAAGGATTTTGTTTTCCAAACCCTGAGTGGTGCCGGGAGCCCTGCTCAAATGTTTGGGTGTGCCCTATGTGTGCAGCAGCAGCAGGATCCGACTTCCCCTTGCAGAGAGGAGCTCTGCTGCCTGACCCTTGATCGCTCAGTCCCTTGAACATTGGAAACAAAGCGATGGGACTTTACTGCGGGGTGAGGAGATCTCTCCGGAGAGCTGGGAAAGGCAGGAAGGAGGAGGGCAGCAGCAACAGTGCTGGGGTTCAGGGTTTGGCTCTGGGCTGGCTGCTTGGGGTGCCACTGACACTTCCATCTGTGCCACGAGTGGCGTGGAACTGGGGAAAAGGCAGCAGGTCCTGAGACAGGCACTGGTAATGGATTGCATTCTGTTTTCTAATGAAAGTTTCATTTGAAGTTTGTTTACAGGAAAGAAGAAATTAGCAGAGGGAATTCTCCTGAGAACCCAGAGAGGAAAAAGAATGAGCTGCCTGACTTGCAAGCCAAAAGAGGGTGGAAGGGTAGATTAGATTTACCGTATTGCTCCGAGTCGTGGCTGTTGCTGCTGTTGAGAAACGCTTCCTTGTTTGGCTGGATGGGGAGCCCACTGCAAGGCTCAGCCTTCAGCCAGGTTACAGGCATCCAGGGAGATCCAGAGCTCCCACCCAGCCAGAAATTTTGATCCTGCTCTGGTGGCCTGTGCTTTGAGGCTGGATTTGTGCTGTGCTGCTGTCCCTCTGCTCCTGGGCTGTGGCTGGGCAGCTAGTGCTCTGGACGCTGCTGCTGGGGCCTCCTGTCCCTGGGATTGTCCCTGGTATGAGGAGGCAGTGCCAGCAGTTCATGGGCAGCACTTGGAGGTCACAGTGTTCAGCTTTCAGTCTCCAAGGAGTGTCCTGAGGCAGGAGTTTGCTGGTGGCCTCTGGTGTCCCTACAAGCAGTGAGGAATGCAGCCAAGGGCTAGTGCAGGATGCCAGAGCTGGAGTGATGGGGATGGCCAGAGCCACACTTGAGGCTGGGGCTTTTCTCTTTCTTTAGTAAAGAGACACAAAGGTGTGAAGAGTTCTTGGGGCACTGTGGTGTGGGCAGAGCCGGGTGGCTGCCCAGACCCAGCAGGCAGCGGATGCTTTCTCCACAGTTCCCACTGCCAGGAAGGGTTCTCCTGCTGCCACCTGCACATTTGGCTTTGTGTTCTGTTGGGGTGGGCTGTGCAGTGGGAGCTGTGAGATGCCGGGAAGTTCATCCTGTTGGCATTTTGGCCAAGGGTATTAGTGCTGGAAAGCAGAAAGCTCTGTCTGGAAAGCAGGGGGTAACTTTCTGGACTGGTGAACGTGTGACAGCCTTGTTTAACTTGAGTCATTTATAGCTTATCAGTTTCTGGTTTGATAGCCAGAGTATTTCTAATAATAGGCAAATGTTATTGCACCTCGAGAGAATTGTACACATTTATAAAGCACTTTATATCGCATGTGCATGCGAGGCATCCTTCGTGTCACTACTTCTCCCCCATGTGTGAGTGCATGGAGAGCATGATGCCTCCTGGGTTGTGGTTTGGGTGCTGAGGCTGGATGTCCTCTGCAGCTGAGCCTGAACAACCTGAAAACATCGTGGGTCGCTCCCTGGGCTCCTCCTCCTCCTCACCGGACAGGTGAGAGACTGTGGGCAGCAAGGACCTTGGCATTTGCATTTGTCTCTTAAGCCTGACAGTAATCTTGAGTAAGCCTTGTGAAGAAGGCCAGATATTAGGGTGGCTGCCTCCCTGCAAATGCTTACAATAAAGAGACTATTTATAGTTTGCAACAGGGAGACCTTTGCAGTTCTGTTCCTGTACGTACAAGATGGAGTTTCTGGAGAGGCAGGATTGCTTTGTGGCTGGTGTGGCAGTGGAGCTGTGCTGAGCCAGGGACACTGTGCCTGTCCCTACCTTCTGCCCTCCTCCTCAGCTCCACCTGGGCACAGGGGGGCTGCTCAGGGACACCTGGTGGGTCTGGGGTCAGGGTGTCCCTGTGCGGGGCATGCATGGGGCTGCCGAGCCCTGTCCATCTGTCCATCAGTCTGTCCCTTGGTGCATGCAGGGTTTCACAAGCCATAAATTCCAGGAAACTCCCCGGGAGGCACATGGAGGGAGCGGGCTGGGGGCGGCACGAGCCCTGAGCCAGCAGATGTGTCTGCAGGGACGAAGCGCTGGGAGGAAAAGCACAAACCTGTCTTTAAAGACATTTGTTTGTTCACAATAAAAACTATCAGCCAGCGGCAGCCAGACAGGGCTGTTTTTATGAGGAGCAGGCGTAGGTTGGAGGGGTGCTGCCAATTACTGCTTACACGGAAAGGGAGCGGGGATTGTATTTTATCTCAGGACCAGGGGGAGGGTAAAAAAAATAAGAGCAGAGAGGTTTACAAGCCTTTGAAATGTTTCAATCAAAGGAAAGCAGAGTTGAAAGCGGTTCTGGAAACATTTTCGGTGTTCCCCTGCACCCCAGGGCGGTCTGTGCCCCTGGCTTTGGGAGGGGAGCAGGGAGAGGAAGGCAGATAAAGGGATCACCAGCAGGACCGTGTCCATACAGGAGCACGTATCTGCTTCCTCCCAAGCTTTGCATTGGGAGAGTTCAGCCTGGGGAGGTCCCGCAGCCCCTCCTCTCATTCAGGATCTCAGTGCTGCCTTTATGATGATGGTTTTGAAATCCTGTGGCTGACCTTTCCGGCACTGGAAGCGATCCAAGGGCTGTGTCTCGAAGTACTGTAAAGGTTAGTGAGAAGGGAGAGAGGGAGAGAGAAAATGTCCTTTGAGCTGCAGAAGTGGGAGAGAGGAATGTCATCTATGCCATCGTCGGGGAGCAGGCAGCTGGCTGGGGTCCCTGGCCTGAGCTGAGGTGTCCTTGCCTCATTGGGGACCTCACTCCCCCAGCCCCTTCCCAAGGTGTATGCTGTCATTTTTGATCAGGGTACAGAGGCAATATCCCTCTGGAGAGGTCTGGAGGAGCCTCCTCTGCAGCATCAGGCAGTGCACACCTGTGGGGATCAATACCTGTGTCCATATATGCCCGAGAAGCTGCTCCTGCTGCTGCCAGTCCTCTGGTGATTCCTCATGTAGCAGATGATTTGATCTCAGAAAAGTCCGAGTTGTTTTATGGAGCCATTTCTTGCCTGTCCTCAGCTCCCCCATGCCGCTGCCTCGCCGGGAGCACGCTGGGGTGGATGGAGATTAAAGGGTAAACTCCAGGGCTCAGCCATCCGCTCCTACAGGATGTGAGCTCTTTCTAATTGTCCTCAATTAGAGACAGTGCCATTGCTCAGGCAAGTCTTCAGGCAGGAAGCAGAGCCCTGGTCCCCGCTGGGGCAGCCACCTCGCCCTGCACAGGGAAGGGCTGCTTGCAGTGGCCTTGGGAAGCCCAAGGGGCCAGCAAGGCTTCTCAGGGCGGGGAACAGGAGCTGCCCACCCAATTGTTTTTAGGAAGGAGTGTGGTGAGATGTTAAAGCCAGAGAAAGGAAGAAAGGAAATAGCTCCCTGAGTTAACCCTTTCCTGCTTGCCTCCAGGATGAGACGTCGGTGAGCAGCGAGGACTTTGATATGAACGACTCCACATGGATCTCAGCTGACCAGCACCTGAACTCCAGCCTGAGCCCCAGCCAGGACGAGAGCATGCGCAGCCCACAGAACCTGCACGGCCATGAGGATGGTGAGTGCCCCGGCAGGCGGGAAGAGCCCCACGCCTCTGCCACAGGATGTTTTTGTGACTTATTAAACATTAACTAGTCCTTTCTGATCAGGTGTCCCACCTGTGGGATGGATTTCATATCAGCTCAGAGCTGGCTTCTAGTCCTTCCAATTTAGCCTCTGGGTTCCTGCTCAGCCAGGGACCTGTCCAGCTTGGAGCTGATGGTCCTTTTGCCTGGAGCTGTCTCCCAGCTCCTCCAGAAAGAGGTCACTAAATCCCCTTCTAAGGGGAGGACTTATTTCCCCAAGTTCTCTTCCCAAGTGATGAGGAGAGCACTCTTAGTTCTGAACACAGGGAGGGTGCCAAGGCTTTGCAGCACAGTCACAGGTTTCTGTGTTTGGAAAGCTGCACCTTTGACAGGTCTTGCATCCCCCAGGCAAGAAATTGTGAATAATCTGCAGCAGCCACAGTGATGTTGTGTGGGGTGAACGTGGGTGTCTCCTCCCTCAGGGCAGGCGGTTGGAAGGGCTGAAAGCAGCACACATGGGCTGGGTGGGAGGAAGAGTTTTGTGAAGAGAGGTGGTGTGTTGCGTCTGTGAAACATGCAAGCTTAAAATAGGAAAAAAAAAAATAAAAGAGCAAGTAAATAAGTGGTAGAAGTACGAGTTCAGGTCAGAGTTCGTTACCGTGATGCTTGGGAGGATTTGGTGGTTGGACTGTTACCGGCTTCTGCTCAAGAGGTTGAATCCCTTATTGTCCCAGCCTGGCTGCTGCTGGGAGTGCAGGAAGGAGCAGAGGAATCTGAGGAATAACTGAGATTGGGTTCATCCTGCTTTAAGAAAAGGGACTGGAAAACCACCCCTAAGCAAAGAAAAAGCTTTTGTGCTGGCAGGTCTCCCTGGCGTGGCTTTTAGCTGGTGGTGTGGCCGGTGGCAGGGATGGTAGAGACAGAAGGGGAAACAGGGACACTGCTCTCTTCAGTCCAGTGACTTGTGGCATTTCAGTTTCCATTGCAAATCTGCAGTTTTGGGAAACTGCTGGTTTTCCCTAGCCAGCCCCTGCACCGGAGCCAGGCAGCCTTGGTGAGGATGTGAAACCTGAGTGCACGGCACTGCATCCCGGTGGTGGGATGGACACAGGCACTTCTGCTTGCCCAAGGGCCCCAGGGGGCTGTGTCTTGGCAAGAGGAAGAGTGTTTTGGTGGTGACACAATTGCTCCCATAGAAGCTTTTGGCTCTTGATTCTTCAGGACTAGGCTGCAGCCTCCACCCCAACAAGCCCAGCCTCTTGTCCCTGTGGCCTGACTGGGTCTCTCTGTACCCCCTGAACTTTGCCATTCTCCCACTGGGACTTAGCCCTCACCACTGAATTCCCAAGTCTCATTTACAATCTAGAATGACACAGTTTTGATCTCTTTGCTGAACACTGTTATTCAAAAGGACAGTAATTTAATAAGGGACTCACGTATTTAGGCAAATCAAGATGTTCTCACTAAATCTAAATCCTCCTTCTCTCTGCGCCCTCTTAGGAATTGCTTCCAATTTTTCATGCCCTGTGGTTTTCCTTCAGAAGCAGGTGTCCTCTTTGGGGCTCTTCTTGGCTCCTTTAATTTCTTTTGTAAGGTTCAGTGATGAGAAATAAAGCAGAAATAGTCCCGTAGGAATGCAAGTGTTCCTGGTGTCAGCATCAGCTGAACTGGGTAGACTTTGTGAAGTCTAGAAGATCAGAAGTGATGGTGTCAAAAAAATAAGCAAGCCAAGCTCAGGGTGACAAATGAGACCCATACAAAAAAAACCCAAAAAAAACCCCAGGAGTTGCAATTTTCACCAGGCTGTCACACTTCAGAAGCGTTTTGTGGACTGAGGTTTTGTGCCTGTGGTGAATGCCCATGATCTGTATCAGAGCTCTAAATACAGACTAATGCTGCCTCAAGTCAGTCCCTCTGCCAAACCAATGCTCCCACCCAGGAATGGAGCACACACAAGAGCGGGAAGAGAAGAAGGACAATAGAGTAACCAAGGAGGGCAGTGGGTTATGGGAGGAGCACGGAGCAGAGAAGGAGCATGGAGCAGAGGAACATGTTGAGAGAGGAAAAGCAGATTACTGCTCTGGGGAAGGGAATGTGCACTATCAAGTGTCGACCACTCTTCGGTTTCCTCTTCTCTCAACCTATGAAAGTGCTTCTTTTTTTTGGAAACAAATGTGTTTTCCTGGTTCACATAAGCTTGCTAAGGCTGTGAAAAAAATGTGAGTAACCAGCCCACATAGCTGTGGAGCCTCCTTGGAGCCCAGTTGGCCAAGCTGCTGGTGCAGTGTGCCTGCACTGGGGCAGCCCAAATACTCCCAAGCTGGAAGTTTGTCCACATCTCCTGTGCTCAGTTGTCCCCTGTGCCCTGCAGGCATCCTGCAGAGCTCCAGACAGTGCTAAAGTGAGCCCCACATATCCCCTGCAGCCAGGCTGGGCTCAACTCCGGGCATCCTGGCACTGCAGAGGGGTCTGGTTGCACACTACGTCCTTCAGCTGGGAGCTTGTTCAGGACTGGATACTCTCTGCCTTCAGGAAAACCTTTTGAGTTACTAAATTGGTCCTGCCTGCTGCTGTTTGACAGGTGTGATGCTTGGAGTGTGTCTTCAGTGAAAGGCTTGCTAAAGTATAAAGTTTTAATGAAGAGTTGCCTAGTAGGAGAGCAGTATCGTCTGACACGCTTGTTAAAAAAGTCTTGTTTAAAGGACCAAAGCACCAGCTCCAGGTCTTTTCAAGGCCTGAGAGGGGCAAGTGTTCTCCTGTGGCATAGAGTTGTTGAAACCCAGAGAGGCGGGAGAGCAGGGAATTGTCATCCCATGCTTTGATAAACAGGTACCTACTAAACCATCAGAGGCCTTTGTCCTGGTGCCCAGAAGCCTTGGCCCAATACAGCATGCTGGTGTCAGCCCTGAAACTGCAGGGAGAGCAAGACACACCTAAAGACTTGGCTGGGTCATGGACAGAGCAGGCTCTGTCAGGAGAGTGGGGGTTCCTGCTGTCTCAGTGGGCACACTGTGGGGCCTGGGACACACCGGCCAGCCCTGAGCAGTGACACTGAACACGCACACTCGCTCCTTCCATTTTCCTTTGTTACTCATCCTGCGGGCCCCAGCACGGAAAACGTGAAGCTCCCACAACATCCCTTCCCAGTCGGATGTTGCTCACAGCGTACGTGCCCGCAGGAAGCCGCCGGCTGCCCAAAGCAACAGCAACATCAACACAAACTCCGCTGCTGAAGCGGAGCTATTGTGCCGGACATCCTGGAGGGACACATCTGTGGGAGCCAGTGCACACAGGGAGCAAAGGGACCCCGAATGCTGTGCTGTCCCGCTGTCTGGGCCTATCTCCATTCCTGAAGGCATCCCATGCCCAGTCCCAGCTGAGTGCAGGGCCCAGGCCCTGGCACTGTCTTGTTGTGGCAGTTTGAGCTGGGCTCTGTCCATCTGCAGAGCCTGTCTGCTTCTGCAGGTGGGCACCACGTTACAAATCTCTCAGTTTGGTTTGGTGTGTGGAGCTGAGCGGGGTATCCCACCAGAGGGGTGCTGGGTATTCCACCCCAGGCCTGCTGTGACTTTCTGGTGAGTACAGCACCCTTGAAAGTAAAGCAGGAGTCAGACCCCAAACCTTAGTGTGTGACATGGCAAAGTGCTTGAATTCCTGCAGAACAGCCTCTGCCTTGCCCACTAACAGGATGCACCTTGCCTTGTCCCTGGCTGTACACATCCTGCTCCACTGCCCAGGAGCAGCACTCAGCCCATGGGCAGGGCTTGCTGCTCCTCAGCCTCTTTTGAAGAGCAGGGAAAACTGCTGGGTGTGTGGTGTGCTTACTCTGTGTGAGGGACATGGGTTTGCTTCATGGCACCATGTTGGACTGATCCCTTTCTGCTGAGATCCCCACGTGCCGTCCTCGCTTGACTGGCAGCTGAGTCTGTTCTGCCCGGAGCAGCAGTGGCTAATCCAGACCTTGGAGAAAGGACTTTCTTAACCTACTTAACTGTGAAGGCACACGATTCTTGGGGGCATCCCTTGAGGCAGCTGGTTGGGGAGGCTTCTGGGTGTGGGGGACATTCCTCAGTAGTGCTACAAGGAGGGACCTCAAGGACATGTGGGCAAGCATTATTTCCGGATTCCAAGTCCCAGAGGCTTGTAAGACGTGTCACTCTGGAAACCTTGCCCTGGGATGTCAGGGATGGCATAGAGCTGTCCCAAGCACTGCAGTCTCTCCGCTGGTATGGCACATATCCCACAGCTCTGGGTCACACTGCTGGCACTTGATGAGATGCCCACGATGTGCTGCTCATCACCATCTGCCCTGAACCACCAGTCTAGCAGAGCTTTCAGGGGAGGAGCAGCCTCTTGCCGTGTGCTGATCAAAAGCAAGGCTCCATCCCCAAGCGATGTCCCACTCCACAGTTGCACTTCTGACAGCTGGCACCTGACTGTGGGGCAGTGGTGCCCACCTTACAGGGTCATTGCTGCAGCATTGGGTGTCACACAGCTCCCAGGGCTTTCCTCAGCCAGCCTAGCCCTGCTCCAGGTGAATACAAACACCCTCAGTAAGCCAGAGCCCAGCAGACCATAGGCAGCTGGCCAGTGCAGGAGATGGCCTGTGAGCCCCAAGACACTTGCTTAGCCCAGGCTGTAAAATTCCCACTTCCCAGGGTTTCCAGGGTTTCTTGCACCAGTGTTGAATTTTGGCCCCCATAAAGCCTTATCTTTAAACAAGACTAGGACCAGCAGCCAGGCCTTACTACAGCTAGACACGACCTTATTTCATTTTCATTAGGGATATATTTCCTCTTTCTCCAGGGTGTCCCCATGTTGTGCTGGCTCCACAGCAGGAGTCGACAGACGTGTCCCTGCCTCGCCTGAGCGGTCTGGGCTGGTGACTCCATTCCTGTCACCTCTTCAGGGGCACATCTGCTCCTCCCGAGCAAAGGCCCTGGCCTGTGATAAACACCCTCCTTTCGGTGTCCTTTGAAAGTTGTCCTTCCCT